CCCCCCCCCCCCTATTTAACATAAAACCCCCACTGAGCAACCATCCACACGAAACTCCCATTCGCAACCACCACCGGCCCCGCCAATCCCCTACCCCATCTCGCACTCCCAAACACCCACCACTCACTCATAAAGTGCAGCCACGCGACCGCATACGTGATGATCGCCAACTCGTAGATCTGCGGGTTCGAGATGTAGTACGCAGCGTAGATCCTGACCGCGGACTGGATGACACACCAGGTTCCGAAGGTGCGTGAGGAGAGGGGTGTTGCGGGTGAGCGGGATCCGGGGTAGGCTGCTGCTTCTTTGGGAGAGGTGGAGGAAGCTGGAGGGGCCGGACCGAGATAGACTTGGGAGGAGTAGGTTAGGGTGCAGTAGGCTTGGATTGTGTTTGCTATTGAGACTATGGAGACCTGGGGTTGTTAGTGATGTGGTTGGAGAGGGATGGGGGGACGTACGAAGAGGAGCCATTTGGGGAGGAGGCCTTCATGTTGCGGGAGGTAGGTTAGGATTGAGGTGGTGAGGGAGGACATTTTCGGGGTTGGTGGAGGTGTTGTGGTGAGCTTTTGGTTGTAGGATGTTTTCAAGGTTGAGGTAGATGGAGGTGGGCACCTTGATGGAGAGTACAGGGAAGGTGGTGGTTGATTGTTGCTGATTCATACGATTTTCTGGGGTGTAATGTGACCAATTGGGCTCTGGGGACAATATCAAAGAATCGTCTTCCAGACCATCGAGTTTTCCTGGGTTGTCCCTGTCTCTGGCGAAAACTTTCAAGTCGGAGGTACAGTACCTGATTGTTAAACCGCCCAGGAGCTTCAGGTTGCTGTACGTAATTTAAACGGATCTACTCAAGTATTCCACCCCTGCAACTTGCGTCAACCACCAAATCTCCAAATCTCCAGTAAGCATCCACGAACCTCAATTGCCATCAACTGCAATTGAAACCATCATGGATCTCAACGCCTTGATCGACAAAGTCCCCCAAGGCCTTCTACTCGGTCTGGCTACTCTCGGGCTAGCTACTGCCAGTTGGAAGGTATTCAAATACGTCCGCTTGCTATTGAGTCTTTTCGCCTTGCCTGGAAAGAACGTAAGTACCCGCATGTGAAATATCACACCACAAAACTAACTCGTCACCCAGCTCCGAGCATACGGGAAGAAAGGAACCTGGGCAGTCATCACCGGAGCCTCGGATGGAATAGGCAAAGAATATGCCATTCAACTCGCTCAAAAAGGCTTCAACCTTGTCCTCGTCTCTCGCACTGAATCGAAACTGCAAACTCTCGCCCAAGAAATCGAACAAAAATATGTTGGCACCTCTGTCAAATGCAAGATCTTGCCTATGGATTTCTCGAAGAATGACGATGGGGATTATGCCAAGTTGAAGGCGTTGGTTGATGGACTAGATGTTGCGATCCTGATCAATAACGTGGGACAAAGTCATTCTATCCCCGTTCCTTTCATCCAGACGCCCAAAGACGAGATCCGCGATATCATTGCGATTAACTGCATTGCCACCCTCCGCGTCACCCAAATCGTAGCACCCGGCATGGTCCAGAGAAAACGCGGATTGATCCTCACCATGGGCTCCTTCGGTGGATGGATGCCCACTCCCCTCCTAGCAACCTACTCCGGCAGCAAAGCATTCTTGCAACAATGGTCCACGTCCTTGGCTGGGGAACTGAAAGGCACAGGCGTCGATGTCGAGTTGGCCCTCAGTTATTTGGTTACCACAGCTATGAGCAAGGTTCGACGAACTAGTGCCATGATTCCTAATCCTAGAGCGTTTGTCAAGGCGGTTTTGGGTAAGATTGGCAGAAGTGGTGGGGCGCAGAATATGGCTTATACTAGTACGCCCGTTTGGAGCCATGCGTTAATGCAGTGGTGGATTGAAAATACCTTGGGCCTTGGGAGTGCTTTTGTGGTTAATATCAATAAGAATATGCATGTGGATATCAGGAAGAGGGCTTTGAGAAAGGCTGAGAGGGAGGCGAAGAAGGCTTGAGAGGGTTCATTCGAAAAGGGAAGATATGAAATTTGGGCGTGTTATTACTTCGGTGGACTAACGGTATCATTTGGTACTAGCGCATCGGATTGAAGGCATTATGCAGCATCAGTTGGAAGAATAAATATGGTCTTAGTTGTTCTAGACTGTTCCTTGCAACGTTCACTAGGTAGGCAGCCAGGTAGCTGGATGTGGAGCAGCTTTAGTATTGCAGATAGCAGCAACCTGTAACCAGTATACACAATTCAATATATAATTCATGATAAAAATATAATCCAGTGAAGAATTCCCAACAGTATCAAAATTCATCCCTGATCTGTTGTTCAGGTTCGCCTGTCACGTGGCGTATGTCTGTGATTTTTTGGGGCCTTCTTTGCCAGGTGAACGCGCTCGCGACGCATCTCGAGCTTTCGAGTATTTACACTCCCCATCCCAAAAAAACTCCCTGCACGCCCGCTGTCGCAACCACCTACAGCTTTCCACCATCGCCAATTCGATTTCTCATGTACCTCTCATAATCAACCAACATCCGCAGCGTCTGGTATTCTTACCTTAAGCTCCAGTAACTGGCCGAACTTCACAAATGGCTTTCTCAACCCCCCAGAGGCCCCTACCAGGCGCATTTTACAATACACCCGCTGCGAATCGATTTCCTCCACCAAGGCAACCTGTCTTTAATCCAGTACAACAAAGCCGAGCTCCATCGAACTCGCAGGACCAGCAACAACCAGAAGCGGACCCGGCGCAAGCTTTACAGCCCATACAACGAGCCCAGAGAACGATCAACGAGGTATTGCAGAGGGAGGCTAGCTTTCCAGATCTTGATAGCTATGTGCGGCGTAAGTTGGAACCTCTCGGGAACTAGGTCTGCTTGAACTAATGAATTGGCAGAGGGGATCTCTTCTGAATATGAACTACCCAATAATACTACCGAGTCAGCATGGACACCCTTTCACCGCGCAAAGACATACGACCTCCCCGATCAAATCCTCGAACAATATAATCGCGCAGAAGCCTCGACGGCGATGGGCCTATTTGCAGAACTGAATCATGCCTGGGTTGCGATTGATAGCGCGCTGTATCTATGGGACTATACGGATCCGAATGCAGAATTGATCGGTTTTGAGGACCAACCACATAATATTACAGCAGTAAAGCTGCTTAAACCTCGAAAGGGAGTCTTTGTTGAGGATATCACCCATCTGCTGGTGGTTGCGACAACACAGGAGATTATCTTACTTGGAGTTTCTGCGCAGGTTGAAGGACCCGGCGTACGGACCGTTCAACTATTCCAAACTCGAATGGCTCTAACAATTAGAGGGATCAATGTTCAAGTTATTGAAGGATCTGCTGAAACAGGTCGGGTTTTCTTTGCTGGTCATGGAGATAATGAGATTTACGAACTCACATATCAGCAAGAGGAGAAATGGTTTGCTGGGCGATGTGGGAAGATCAATCATACAAGTCCTGGATACTCAACCATTATGCCGAAAGTTTGGGGGGCCAAGTCGACAGAATATATTGTTCAGATGGAGGTGGATGATAGTAGACGACTTCTTTACACATTATCCTCCGAATCATGCATTCGAACATTCCATATGGAAACTCCCACTACCCTCACGCAAGTTATCGAGAAAAGACGAGTTGAATGTTTACGAGATATTAGTCACATGATATCTTCTTCAACTTTACTCACCAACCAGATGCAGATCGTTTCTATAAACCCTATATCAGCAAGAGAAGGTTCGAAATTGCACTTGATGGCCACTACTACGACCGGGTGTCGATTATTTCTCAGTGCCACAAGAGGATATGGATATCTCCAGGGTCAGGGAGCTCCACAAAGTATGCAAGTCCAACATATCAAATTCCCACCTTCCACGGATCCTAGACCATCTGGTGTATCCCCGTATCAAGGAGCAGATCCGGCGACAGAAACTTCTTCGATGGCACTGGCTTGGTCACGAAAGGGTCTTCGTTTTCCTCCTGGGTTTTTCTTCTGCTTTGTTTCCAAGGGCGGTGAAGAGGGCAGAGACAACCTTTTTCTTTCGGCTCCGGATACTGGAAGAATAGCTGCTGAGGCACGTGCTTTGACAGTTCAAGCCTCCAGATACTACGAGTCTGGTTGCTGGTTATCACTTGGAAGTCGTGCGGAAGCGGTCGGCCTTGTTACGCCACCCTTTTCAGCTTCAAGGCAACCACTTGGTTTCGGCAATGAGCTCGCAGTGCAGTTTGATGATGCACCCACAGAAGTCGCAATTCTCACAAATAGCGGTATCCATGTAATTCGACGGAGGAGACTTGTAGATGTATTTGCGGCAGCTGTAAGGAATGGCGGTGGTGATGATGGATTGGAAAACGAGATCAAGAAGTTTATTCGACAATATGGACGAGGAGAAACAACAGCTACTGCTTTAGCGGTAGCATGTGGTCAAGGCAGTGATTTAATACCAGGCGAGAATAGAACCGCAAGAGTTGTCGACCCGGAGACATTAATGTTAGCAAAGAAGGCGTTTGTGGAATATGGGGGACGACCGTCGTTGAATGAGAATTCGGTTTCGGAAGGTCCTGCACATGCAGCCGACAATGTTCGACCCTCATCTCGACATGAGGGTCTAGCGTTATACATGGCCAGACTTCTTCGATCATTGTGGAAAACACCGGTCATCCGAGAAACTCTCTTGCCAAACGGCGCTGCTGCTATCAGCTCTCCTGTTGCTAAGGAGAAGATGATGGCAGTTCAAGACGAATTGACAAAATTGGCGACATTTCTCGATGACAACAAAAATTCGATCGAAGGGCTGTCGGGCCCAGAGAGCCTTCAGCACGTCGCAAGCCAGGCGGAACAAGTTGCTCTCCAAGGTGAACATCAGGCATTAGGTTCCCTTCAAAAGTTGAATTCCAGCATCATCGAAGGGATATCTTTCGTTCAGATGTTGTTCGAGGAAAGAGTTGACTTGATCTGGAAGACTCTCGATGACAATCTGAAGCAACGAATTCGGGATCTTACATTCGAGCTCCTTTTTTCAAGCGACCAAGGAAAGGATCTCGCCAAACTTTTGGTGAAAGCCATTGTCAATAGGAACATTGCCAGTGGTTCAAACGTTGATGCGGTTGCTGATTCTCTACGACGTCGATGCGGCAGTTTCTGTAGCGCTGACGATGTCATTATATTCAAAGCTCAAGAACAACTTCAAAAGTCTTCGGATCCATCGATAACGTTCAAACAATCCCGAGGACTTTTGAATGAAAGTTTCCGCCTCTTTGAGCAAGTTGCCGGATCACTAACCCTCGAAAATTTACAAAACGCTGTCCAACAATTCGTTGCTCTCGAGTTTTATGCAGGTGCGGCTAGTTTAGCTCTCAGAGTTGCACGAGAATCCGATTGGGGCAATAAGGCTCAAGCATGGGTTAAAGATAATAAACCAGTCGGTGACCCACGAAGTTCGATTCACCGCTTCAGACTGGAATGCTATGATCTTGTACATCGTGTCTTGGTCGCTGTTGATGAGGCTGCCGCTGGGGCACCAGAAGAGATTGACGGGCGGGAATCAGTCATGTCCCTGAAGCGTTCTGAAACCCATACGGTCGTCAACAATTCTGATGATGAGCTATTTCAATTTAACTTGTACGAGTGGTATCTCGTACAGAACTGGGAGAATCGTCTTTTGGATGTTGATTCACCATTTGTCGTCGACTTCTTGACTCGTTCCGCACAATTGAGTGTTGAGCGGACAGATCTGTTATGGAGATACTACGTACATGGAAAGAAATTCTATGATGCGTCAGTGGTACAACTAAGTCTCGCGAAGTCCGACTTCTCAATCGTTCTTGCAAGACGAATTGATTATCTGGTTCGAGCAAAGGGAAATGCTTCAACACAGAGCCCTGGAATTGGGCGAACAGCACGACAAACTCTACTCTACGAAATTAACGAACTTCTCGATGTGGCAAATATTCAAGCTGATCTTCTCAGCCGATTACGAGTGGATGCAAGAATTCCCGGAGGCAAAAAGGATCAGATTATCCCAGCTCTCGACGGACAGATCATCAATTTATCAGAGGTATGTATAATTTTCGGTCTTTTGTCAAGCAATACTAACTCTTATTCAGCTCTTCAATACATACGCCGATCCAGCGGAGTATTACGACATGTGTCTGATGATCTACGAGGCAGCCAACCATCGCAACGAAGCAGACATCACCGGAACCTGGAGATCCCTCATCCAAGCCGAGCACAACTCGGTCGCAAATAATCCCAACTCCACCGCTAGCCCCTGGGAAGTTGTCAACACCAAAGTCCAAGAGATGGCCGGCAACCTTGTGCAAAGCGAAAACACCTTCAACCCCGCCATCATCGTACCCATACTCGAACAATACGCCTTGGAACAACAGAATGGTGTTGGTCCTCGCGCGTGGGTCCCCGATCTCATGGTCCGATGTGGCATCGCGTTCGAGACGCTGATTAGCATCATACAGGGGATGTGGTATAATAATCTCCAACCCTTTACGGGACGCAATCGGGTGATTCTTGCGGATCATGTGGTCTGGCTTTGTAAGACGTGGTATGAGCAGTGTATGGCGAGGAATGAGCGCGTCTTTGGGAGTGATACTGCGGCGCAGGAGATTGGGGAGTTGCTGGAGGTTATGGGGCCGTCGTTGGATGTTGAGGGGAGGGAGATGGTGGATGAGTTGAGGAGGGTTATTAGGAGGTCTTTTGGGTTGTGAGGTTTGCATGGGGGGTGGAGAGGTTTGGAATGTAGTAGAATGAGAGAGAGAGATGGTGAACAGGCAAATATTAGGTCTGCTTGGTTGTTTGTTGTTGTTGTATTCGTAAGGTTGTACGTATGGGATGGGAATGAAGGAAGGGGGAGTATAGAAAAGATGTTTGGATGAATGGATGGGTGGATGGATTTTTAATTCATTGTGTTTTATTGTATTTTCCTGATGTTGTTGTGTTTTATGGTATAGCATGTATCCGGAAAGGGCGTCTAATGAATATTAATGAATGCTTTTTAGCGTTTTCTCTTTTTTCTGTGCTCTCTTCCTCTTCTTTCCCTTCTTTCCTTTCCGAGAAGAGAGTGGAATTGTTCCATAGAATATAGTTCCAGATGCTGAATATTGGCAGCAAGATCAAATGAAAACGTAGGCCATCATCATACGGAAACCCTGAGGCTCATGAGAGTATCTTGGGTTCGAAAGGTTTATGTCGGGATTCTTTGGTACTGTAGTCATCTCCAAATGAATTTGCCAACCGAAATTCTATATAATAAAACGCCTAAAAGACAGAGCCCACTCACGAACTTTCGAATGACCCTTCATTCCAAACTAAGTTCTTTGGGATAAAGATATGTAAAAAACGGCAAGAAGAAAAATGTCAACATTCAATATGCCCATAACTTCCAACTCAATTTATCCCCTTCCAAAGTCCGATTTCCAAGTAAGTTCACCACCATCACCAATCCCATGGTTCCAGGAAGCAGGAAGCCCCATGCTCCTAAGCCCCAGAACAACGGCGCTACGCAGGAACAGAACAGCGCACCAACTACTACCGAGTACCGAGCCGGCATCTCACTAAAAACCAACGGAATCGTGCGTCGTGATTGTGCCTTGTCGCCCTTCATATCTCGAAAGTCTTGGGTGTGGACCGTGAGGAAGATCGTCAATCCGCGGAGGATCAGCCAACAAAGTGCCTTGGGCGTGGAGAGAAGGGAGGTGTTGCCGTATGCGTCTCGACGGGACCGGCGTAGAAACAACCTATTCCAATAGCGTTGAGGAGGTTTCTGATCAGGGGGTTTGCATCGCCGCTGAAGTCATTGTAAAGAACGCTGAAGAATAACTCGACCAGGCAGGGTCCTAGACCTCCGACGTAGTAGCTATATATCACTTGTGCCGGGAATGCACAATATAGGAGGCAAGACGCTGCATATCGTGATATTCGGCCTGAAGGGATGGGTCGCCATGGTTTGTTGATGGCGTCTTCGGCTATGCCTTTGGGATTCCTTTGGTATTGGAGGTTGAATGTTAGGAGTTGGGTCCAGGACCAGATGAGCATCAAGGAAGTCCTGCATATGAGGTCCCATGGTCGAGTGTCATTTTTGAATCCCAGGAATGGACCTTGAAGGACGGAAAGGACACCGAAGAAGTAACCGAGTCCAACGATGTCCTTTAGATCGCTAACCGGGAAGAGCCAGGGTGTATAGGCGCTGTACCGGATGAGTTCGATGTTTGATGAGAATGAACCGGGCTTTTCTTGTTAGTGTGGTCTGGAAGGAGAATGTTTTACTTTAGCCATACAGTTTTGTAAAGTGCCTGGGGTTTACTGTTGGCATAGCCGACTTGAAGAGGCTGTAAAAACTCAGTCATGGCGCCTTTTGAAACTATTCGTCCTTTGCATAAGAGAATAGAAAACTTTCCTAGGCAAACCTGTCGTTTTATCTCATGAGATTCATTGAAATGAAGGAATCCCCATCAGAACCCTCACCCGGAATCCCCATCTCCTGCATACATGGCATGCACATACGGATGAACCATTCTGAACCCATCGCATATACCGAAGGACATCTTGGTCCCGAGACCAATTCAGCATCGCCAGAGAAACTTGGTTCTTCTTTGGTTCGACCTGGTTCAGGCTTTGGAAGCCCGTCGGTCACAACTCCAGAGACTGCATTACATGGACTTTGCATTCTTTTTCATTAGTGTATTCAATCTTGTACCTTCCTGAAGGAGTTGAGATGAGTGAAACTGGAAATCCGCAGGACTGCGAGATACTTGTCTGAATCCCTAGCGTTGCCATCTCAGCGAGTGTGCTGGGTACATGAATGCGCAACTGAATATCGAAAACCACATGCTCGTGGAGATAATGGGTCTAGACGCGCCTGGCACGTCCCACTCTCCATATTTCCCCTAAAAGGGGAAACGCTATGCGAAGATGATAAGAGTGGAGTTGAAATCCTTTGAGGCACAGAATTGCTTCTCGAAGTCTCGTACATGTTCATTATTTCGCACCGAGACAAGTGCAAGCCGGAGCAAGCCCACGCAAAAATTCTCCTCCGCGAAGTGGCCAATGAGGGAATTATTTACGTGGAAAATAGATAGTTCTTTGGCCAACGGGGGAAAATCGAAAAGGGAGTAGGTTATCAAAAAGATTGACCTGTTACATTCGCGGATCTGCCGAGTGTACTTAAGAAATCATCGCAAGAACATCGTAAAAGCAGGTCTTACTTTAAGTCAGCATCGACAATTGAATCTCGATTTCATCTTGGCACTCACACTCACATGGGAATATATCTCCGCAAGTAGCAAAGTGATTGAACGCGGGGTTATTGCTTGAATCGATGTTTTCGGGTTGTAATGGTTCTGTTGAAGTTGTATTGCTTTTCAGTTAGTCGTTACAATAAGCTTTTCCATCGTACTACAGACACCACCGTTGTGCGGGCCTCATGGGCGTATAGAAACACTGGATATTCTGCAGAAGGTGGTGGGATGATGGATGGGAATAAGGTTGCATGACCCCGCCGCACCCCGCCTCATTGTCGCTTATGAGCTATTGGTACTGTAGCATCGTTCTATCCGGAAGCTGCTGCATGGAATCTGGAATCCCGAGAATCCCGAGAATGTGTCGATATTAAGTTCAACAGGCACAGAATTTCAATTGGTCACTTTAGTCAAATATCTTAATAGGATTCGCTTATCCGCTTCGTCCCTTGCTTGATTGTGCATATCTATGATCATGCACGTACTGTACGGCGCAGCAAACTCGGTTATCAGAGGTCGGCGATTGCAGAAGCACGTTTTACTACAGTAGAGTAAAACAAGTCGTAACGGCTACTCAACCAACCAGATGGATCAATCAAAATCAGATGCTCAGGTACTCCCAAATGGAAGAAGCTCACTGTAGTAGTGTGGATATGCTGAATGTCGACGTAGATTGCTTACTTCGAAGCAAGTCCGAAAGAGAGAGAGAAAGCTTTACAATACAGAGGTGCGACATGTTTTCCTATCACAATAGTAATACAGGAGGTTTTCAATTAAATAACATGACGCCTAGCTTTTTCTATCACTGGTCCAGTATTATCGTTGTCTCAATCCATCACTTCATTCCCTTGGAGTACTTTAAGCAACACAATATACACGCTCTAGGTCATCTTCTTGGAGACGAAGACTGGACCGTCCAATCAGTAGTCATTCGTATTCGATTCTTTTGACTCCATCTTTCATCATTCACCAACGGAGTTACCTCAGTCCTCGCACTATCCCATTCCATGATGGTTGTAGTGCCAACAGTCTGGCTCTTAGTTTTCTCGAGCGAGCCTAGCTCAACATCTGGTTGTTGAGTCTTTTGAAAAATTTTCGTATCGGACGTTTGTTTGCTGGATTCCACAGACTTATTCTTTCCGTACCATTTTCCTCCAGGGTTCGAACCTTGGCCTGAATATCCGGCGACTTGAGTTCCGGGTTGTCCCTTTCGGAACAACTTTTTAAGGACAGGCGCGATGACAGGTAGGCAGGCATTCAAGACTCCAAGAGCTGGTTCCAGAATGCTATAGATAGCACCTGGTTTTAATGTGTATGTGAGATCCGAGAGATCCCAATTCTGTAGCCAGACTACCCGGAGAAGTGTGACGATGCAAACGCTGTTTTGAGTCTCAGTATCGGAGAGAAAGGCTTCTTTGAATTCAAACTTACATAAGTCCGAGGCTAAATATGCCAATCACACCAATTCTCTTCTTTGTCGAGTGGCGCAGGGCCCATAGCGTCGGCATTGGAAGAAATACAACGACGACATCAAGAACCAGGTTTGTGATTCCAGCGATGAGAAATGCGGTATTCTGTTCTTCTGTTTTACAAGAACCTCCAGGAATAGTTTTGTCCCAATTGAATTGCACGGGCTGACAAAGCACAAAGGACTCGATAAATACAGATATGAAATAACACCATGTGAGAGCGATTGTGGTATAACAAAGAATGTGGAGCACTTTGGACGGGAAGAGCTTAACATAGAGCAAAAGAATCGATGTTTTGACGCAGGAATTTCCACATGCCCAGAGGATTTGACCGGCGAGGAAGAGCTTAGCGATGACATTAGCCACTTGCCACGTTTGTCATGACGATATCAGAATTTCACTCATTTTAAGAAATAATGCTATCTTCTCTGGATGGGTAGTCATGACATCGCTCAGATGCTCCCCTTCTCCGACTCTGAAGGCAGCTAAAACAAGTATCAGATTATGCTTGACCATGGGATACTTGGACTAACCAGTAGCGAAAACCCCGCAAGCACCAGTGAGAATGATCTGACATGGTCAGTTGCAGCTCAATTTACAAGAACCCTTAAGGTTTGTTACCATTGCAACAATGATCGCGTAATCATTGGCGGCAAGCTGAACATGCTTGAGTTGTCGAGACCAGAGTCTGGCACCCAACGATAACCAAGCTAGGAATAGGAAGATAAGAGAGATACTAGCAACCGCGATCGCAGCGGCGCGAGTGCCATAGCTTAGAAAAGTGTGGGTTTGAAGTGGAGAAGGTTTTTCATTGAGCAATTTGAGAACAAGTGTATGGGTTTAAGGACATTCCTGTACTTATTCTGAAGCACTCAGTGGCAATAGATATCATAGGGTCGCATCGTGGCACAGGAATATAGTTTCATTATAAAAACGTCGTCAACTAGGATTTACTCCATGCAGGCATATGGCAAAACACCGAGATGGGACGCCCCTAGTGCTTCTGTAACACAACTGCGCTTCTAGAAGATGATACCCTTCGCTTATGAGACAACACCAAAAGACAGTACTGAGTGCTGTGGGAATACGGTAAACCAGAATCAGGAATTAAAAGTTTCAGGATGTGGACTAGGATTGTTGCGGGGGGACTGGGAAGTGTTGAAGGAGGTCGTGCCTGTTGATGGGAGGCCGGGAGCGTACAGCATCTGCATAAGGACTAAATTAGTAAGCCTGGTAACAGCAGGTAATCGACCCATCGTAGCCTCTTTTCCAATCCGCACTACCAATACGTAAACGAATATTCTCTCATGGTATTCGAGGGAGATGAGAAGGAAGAATCGCGATCCATGAACGACCACCGAGGTGCAGAGTACGTAACACGCAGTGGGGTGGAAGGGATGATAAAATTCTTCTCCACGGCTTATTCCTAAGGGGTTTGTTCCTAAGGGGGCAACCCATTGTGCATATTGGATTTTGATGGGCAAGACGGTGATGAGCTTAATTCAGGTGCATATAGTTATGCAGGCCTGTGGCGTGGAAGAGGGGTTTATCAGGGAACACGGGAACAGACCTATTGCATGTCCAATATTGACGGAAATTTGCAACAAGTGTCCAACCGGCTTCATATTCCCAATATCAGAAAGTCAATGCTTTGAATTGACTGATTTTCGAACACAAGCTTTTATAAACTTGGTAATATGCGCGTTTCCAAACCTCAACACTCTGTATCTGAAAGCACAGTTCCTTACTTCAAAATGGGACAAGTTTATTCTTGCGACTTTGTGATAGTTGGTGGTGGAACCTCAGGTCTCGCTCTCGCATCGCGCTTAACGGAGAATCCAAGTGTACAAGTTTTGGTTCTGGAAGCTGGAGACGACCAAACTGAGAATCCCATCTTCCAAATACCATCATTTTATACAGCATGTTTAGGCTCTCGTTTGGACTGGAATTTCACGACTCAGCCTCAGGTACTGTTGGTATGACCTGGTTGTCGTAAAGGGTGATACACAAACATAATCTCTCTTTGTATTCATTCGTGTATGAAGAGTAAAGGTAAAGAGAGGTGGTACCCTACAAGCTTCAGTATATGAGTGGCAAGCCACTGACATGACCTAAAGCATATAGATCCACCAGGCTCTCGTACAAGGTGCTATTCACCAGAATTATATACCGACAGGTACCTTTCTCTTCTAAGATAATCCCACACTGCTAACAAACTTGATAGACTGGATTGCTCGGAAGACAAGTCCCTTTGAACCAAGGAAAGGCTCTTGGAGGCTCAAGTGCTATCAATGCCCAGGTTTTCGTTCCACCTTCGGCAGCAATAATTAATGCTTGGGAAGAACTGGGAAACGATGGATGGTCCTGGGATGTCATAGCACCATACTTTGAGAAAGTTCATTCAGAGCCTACCATCTCGCAGGAGAATAAAGAGTCGCTGGGCATCGATTGGAACGAAGGCAAAACCGGCAAGATTCAAACATCATATCCTGAGCCAAGCGCAGATCCAGTGCCAACTACATGGATAGAGACATTTAAAAATATTGGTCGTCAGATGACTTCAAATCCATTCTCAGGGACACAAGACAGTGGAGCTTTCATTCCTCTAGCAAGGTAAGCAGATTCACTTCAAAAAGCTTGTGATTCATGTTGAGAATGAAGTTGCATCCTCGAGTTCTCTCTCCTTGTCTTGCTCAGAAATACATGCTAACTCCTCAAAGCGTGGACCCTGCATCCGCTACAAGAAGTTATTCTGCAACGACTTACTATTCGCAAGCTAAAAGCCGATCAAACCTACACGTTCTGACCAATTCTCGAGTGAAGAAAATAAAATTCGTCGGGGTTGCACCATATCTCCGAGCTACAGGTGTACAATATACCTTGAGCGATGGTTCGACTGTAGAAGTCACTGCAAGCAGAGAGGTCATCTTGGCGGCTGGAGCTCTTCAATCGCCCAAAATACTCGAATTGTCAGGAATTGGAGGTTCCGAGCTGCTCAAATCACTTGACATCCCCGTTCTAATCAACAACCCTAATGTCGGCGAGAATCTTCAGGATCATCTCATCAGTGGTGTTGGATTCGAAGCGAAGGATGGTGTACCAACCAAAGATGACTTGGTCAGAAATGACCCAGTCGCCCTTGGTGCTGCTATGCAGGAATACGCGACAAGTCAATCGGGACCCTTGGCTTCAGTAGGACTCAATTCATACGCTTATTCGCCCGTCATGGATTTTGTTTCAGAAAGTGGCCAGAAGCAGCTCCAGGAATTGCTTGATCGATATGCTCCAGCTACCACTGAATCTGAATTGTCGAAGGAATATTACGAAATTGCCCGCAAGATTCTTCCAGACCCAGAGGAAGCTTCTGCTATATTTTTAGCTGTCAATGCGCAAGGAGCAACGCCAACCGTTCCTCCTTCAGGGCCACAAAAAGGAAATTATATCACGTTGGGAGCCGTGTTGACAAAGCCATTTTCTCGCGGAAGTGTCCATATCACAGCCAATTGTCCCGATGTTGCGCCTGCAATTAATCCGAACTACTTGAGCCATCCGTAAGTGAAAAGAAAATATCATTTCCCAGCAGTGCTGACAAAATCCTTAGAATGGACCTCGAAGTTTTCGGCCGACACATGCTTTACCTCATGACCCTCGCGGAACAAGAACCATTAAAATCGACATTGTTGAAGGTGGACGACTCCGGGACCCGGGATCGAACTTCACAACCCTCGAGGAAGCAAAGGCATACGCCAAAACCAGCAGTATTTCGATGTGGCATCCGACAAGCACGTGTTCCATGTTACCAAAAAAGATGGGTGGAGTTGTGGATAAGAAATTGTTGGTGTATGAGACAACAAATTTGAGAATCGTGGATGCCAGTGTTTTCCCATTGGTTTCCAGGGGAAATACTCAAGCCACTGTTTATGCTGTTGCTGAGAGAGCTGCTGATATTATTAAGAAGGCTTATTATTTGTAGATTTCATCCGACGAGACAGGACTCGGCTCGTGAATCATGTTAAAAAGTGCGAAATAGACTTGTATAGAGGGTTTATACTTTACAAAATATCTGTATGAATGATTAATTTTAGAAAATTGCATTCATCTTTACCATACCGTCTCTGTTCTGGATCTAAATAGCTCGATATCTAACAGTTCGGCACGATTTCAACAATTATCAGACGACCCATTTTCTTAAGAATGAATCGGTGAGCTCTCCAGCTCCGTAGAGATCCAACTGGCTAACAAGGATTTTTGCCCGAAATCTTTGGTCCTAATCACTCATCTCTCCTTTGCTCTAGTCTCTCATGGTTGACGCGCCACATTTATTGTCTTGACTTTCGCCTTCAAGTTTCCTGCGTTATCGGACTCATAGTTATGACTTTGGATATAGAGGGCTCTAAAGTTAATTGGTACGCTAGGTACCGCTGCACTTAAAGTGGATGCAGGTGGATACAATAACTGGGTCGAATTGAGGCTCAAATGCTTGGAAACATCGCCTGGTTGGCAAAATGATTTTGTTTTGCGGGGAAGATGTTGTAAAACTGGATATGTTTACTTTATCTTGAGTGCACGTTTTTTTTTGCAACTCTGGTGTCTGGAAGAGATATAGAATACTAATTAGTATTAGTATAACTTAGTAGAATAATATAAGGGTATATAGGAGATATTATAAAGAGCGTAAAACAGTAATAATAACAGATAGTTAACTTAAAAGTAGCTATGATATTAATAATAGTCCATTTATTACAATAAAGCTAGGCGTATATATAACCCTGGATTATTCTATAATTAAATATATAAATATTTTATAATACTTAATAATAAGTGGTTTGTAAAAATATAGGTTGTTATAAAGCGACTTTACTTACTAGATAACTAGAAGCTAAGTAATACTATAGGAGAGGTTAAATTACAAATAGAATTGATAGTAACGCTAAGAATTTATAGATATAAGTACTATACTTGATGTTAAATTACTAAATTTAAACTTGTAAGTATATTTTACTTAGCTAATCAAGACCTATTTCTTTATCTATTAAAAAGAATAATTACATACAACAGGATGTTCACTTATATATAAACCTTTAGACACAACAACCTTTTTTCGAGATGAAATTTTTTGTTCTAAATCACTTGCTCTCACTTGCTTGTACTAAACAAGCCGATTACCCTCCATGGAGACTCCTCTAAGGAGGCCTCCGGCCTTACTGTCGCCTCTGAAAAGAGGTCCGGATAGGGGAGGAGCACGCCCAATTCCCCCCCTCCCGAATATACAACAACACTTCGTCCTAGCAACTGCCAAAGCCCTTGAACGTAGTTCTTTAGGCCAAACCTTCTTCGGAGGAACCGCAGAAGCTGTAGATTGCCACCTAAGCACTGTACTCGACAAAGCCCCCCCCGACCTACTGCCCTACCTTCGAGCCTTTTGTACTCAAGTAGCCAACATCAGCCTCTCATTCCACCAAGCATACACCTCAGGGACACCCCCCCCACTACCCCCGACCTCGGAATCCCCATCAATCATACACACAGGCGACCCTACGCCCCCCCTGACCCCCTCCCCCCCTCTGGCTCCTGTAGAAAAATCTTCCTACGCACGGACCGCAAAGAGTGCCTTAGCGCCTAAAAACGCAACCTCGGCAACAACAATCCCACCTCTCTCTCTCTCTTCCTCTACTACTACTTCAAGGACACAGAAGAACAAGAACAAGAACTCGCAAGCTAAATCAGACCTTAGGGTCTTTATCCGACTTCCTCCTAATTCCCCTGAAAGAGATCACTCTGCCCTAGCTATCTTCCTTGCACTCTGTGACCCGAAGATAGGCTGTAAAGAGCTTGTACAAGAGGTCCTCTTGGTTAACTCTGGATTCGCTATTGTACCTAAAGACAAGAAAGCTCTTGAGGACCTTCTAACAACAAAGAAAGCATTTATACAGACTCTATTCTCAGTAGCCAAGATTGAATCCTCACAAAACTGGGCAGCATATCGCTTGTCAGGGATCCCTCGGAGCATTGAAGCTGTCGAGATCAATACTAAAGGAGCAATCACCTCAACCCTTGTCCCAACTACAGCCGAAGTAGTAGCTACAGCAATAAAGGAACGAATTGGAGTAACTCCTACAAAAGTCGATATATCAAGCAAATCGCTATCTAGCGAGCTTTTCTTTACTACTTGGACTGTCTTCTTTAAAGAAGTAGAGGCCCAAGACCACGCTATCCCGGATATAACATCTCTTCTCGGAAGAAGAGTCTTCTTCAAGCCCCTTCCCAAGGTTTCTACAGTCGTTCAGTGCTCTAGGTGCTGGGGGTGGCATAACCAAAGGATTTGTGGAAAGAACCAAAGATGTCGTCTTTGTGGTACTACTCAGCACTCCGAAGAATTTCACCCAGAGTGTCTAAATCACACACAGTGTAGGCTAAAATGCCTACACTGTAGTGGCCCTCACCCCTCAGACGACCCTAAGTGTCCACTTAGACCAGGAACCTCAGGAACACACCCCTCAACTGAGAATAGAAGGAATATCTACCAAGCGTGTAACGAACTACGGATTAGAAGCGAGCTCGACTCCCCTTGTAGTAGTCAGGAACAGGTTATTCCAGCTACTCCACAAGGGAGATTAGTCCCTTCTTCTAACCCCCCTCCCTCTCCCTCTCTCTCAACAACCTCTTCACCCCAAAGAGACGAACCCTCTGAAGACACCTCTATGGAAGAAGCAACCTACGTTCCCCCTGTACGAAGAACCCGGAACTCTACTATCATAGTCTCTATATGAGTAGACAAGGATTTACAAAGAACCACTGCCTCCAAGTACTCCAAATCAACGTACACAAGTCTAGCAGCTACCAGGAACTTGTACTACAGCTAGCTCACTCTAAGCGAGTCGATATAGTACTTATCCAGGAACCGTATATCTATCTACGAGAGATTAGTCGCCAGATTACAAGACGGCACCCGAACTACGACTGCTTCGCACCTATATGTGACTGGAACGCTGGACCTCCTAGAGTACTCTCCTTTATTCGTAAAGGAGCCGGCATCCTAGCAAGTCAGCAGACCCCTATTACTCCTTCGCTTCAATGCCGAGACCTTGTATACGCCTCGATTACTCTCTCACAAGGCCCCCCGCTATACATACTCAACGTATACAACGCTCCTCTCGGTGCTAAAGGAGCAGGGGAGGCTGTTAGTCTTCTTCTAGACTCTCGACACCTTTGTACAACAAACACAATCATAGCCGGCGATTTCAACCTAAAGAGCCAGCTCTGGCAACCCGACTTTATAGGCTTAGAGAGTGCTCAAGCACCCTCGCTTATCGACTGGGTAGAGAGTAAAGGGCTTCAACTCACTACCCCCCCTGGCACACAGACTCATTGTCAGGGTGTATGATTAGATTGTCTGCGAGGAGAGAAGAGTTCTCCAAGCAGAAGTGCTACTTATCTATCTACAGTGCCTTGTTT